AGAGTAAAAAGAGGACAGCAATCTTTTGGATGTAGGAAAAAAGTTGGTTGTTCATTGTTTCGCTTGAATTTTTGGTCTGCATATTTTTTTGCTGAATAACTGCAAGTAGCTGCATTGACCAACCAGCTGGCTGCATATGATGCGTTTAGGGAGTTCTGTAAATTACAAAGAAGCCAAATATACCAAATAGTACAGTCTGACTCTCTGTGCAGTTTACAAAGACCTGTGTGATTATGCAAAGCTCTAGTAAATCTGTCATTTCTCAAGTTTTCTTGAAAATTCAACCTCTCTTACACACACGAACCGCAATAAACGAGAAGGGGAGAGAATCTTCTTTCGTCTCCAACAAATTGAGGCATCATAACAGCGCATCGTTTGTCAGCAGCTACACAGCGTAACCCTCCCCACCCCTAATGTTCCTCATCGTTCTCTCGGCTCTGATGGATCCTCCCAGCTGAACCCAGAGAGCTGGAATATTAAGACACCGTGGCTCGGTGACATGTTCGCAACAGCGAAACTGCAGTAATGAGCGCTGTTGTTGAAAGGAAGAGGAATAAATAATGGAGATGTGGAGCAGGCAGAGAGTCTCAGTGTAATGCTGAGGATCATCTATTATTTACACAGACCTGTGAGAGAGGTAGGCGTGCTAAGGACACAGGGATACCGGAGAAGAATGGCTGTTTCTGAGCTCGAGAGCACATACAGCTTTTATGATTTGTCACATTTATATACTGTAATGTCGAGACAGGGAGGAGTAGAGGAGAAGTGAATGAGTCAAATAACAGTCGCAACTAGACAGAAAAATAACCACAGAGACCAGGAGCAGAAGCGAAACGGAGTGATGGCGGAATATTTCTTGGTGGAATAGAGTGTCAAGAAGTGCGTGTGCGTGTCGACTCCATGAAATGACGAGCTACATCCTTACATCGCACCCCTGGACGTTTGATTAGCGTCAGACACAAAAGGCTTCTGGGACTGAACACCGGACGCCAGCAGCAGGCCGAAGTGACACCTGCGGTGATAAAGTGTCACCGCAGAGGTGGCTGCGGGACGGAAACGGAGATTGCAGAGGTGACTGTGGGTGACAAAACTGTCACATAACCAATATCTCCCAGAAATACACAATAGACGAGAGAGTGATCTTTCAAAGTGACGGCTGGCCCCAAAAGAAGGCGCCGTTCTGTTGAGGGAAGTGAATGAATATGTTCGCCTATTTGGATTTCTAGCAAGCAGACAGACGGTGATGAAGAAATACAAACGTGTTCAGACATCCTCCTACCTGCCCTGTGGTATAGTTGTTCACTATAACAGCTAAAATGAAGACAGCCATGGTCCGATGCTCAGCCTGAAACAGAGAAAAGGACAGAATTAAGATTTTACGTCAGTTCCACTCTACGTTTCTCGTTTATCTTAAACTAATTTGTTGTGAAGCAGTAAGATAAAGTGGACCTATTATAGTTTAATATGCGAGTGGAAAATCTTCATAAAAATGCTGTCTAAAAAATTTTAGACAGCATGGTGAGCAAAAAATTCAGGATTCAGACTGCTCAGATTTTTGTGCACTTGGTCGACATTAACTTTCATGGTTTCCTTTTAAAGGCCAGAGATACAGCTCCAGGCAAAGCAACTTCACTGACATCCTCCGCTTGACCGCTTCAATTTATAGGGTTTGACCAGGGTCAAGTTCAATATCAGGTTTCAAGTTAAAGAAGGATAAGAGTCATCACGTGTTCCTCTCATGTCACTACACAGAGGACTGAGTTGACTAAAGATGAAGTTTGGAGATGAGGAACAAACATTTGTCATTAACCCTTTAAGACCTACCATAGAACCAAGTCCGCCAGAGCTTATATTATATTTTTACATGCTGTGGAGCCATTTTTGGGAGCATTTCAAGTTGCTATACATCAATACAAC